AGTATGAAGTGATCTAACTGCATTTAGGAAGTGAGATTAATCAAGGTGTAACAAATGAGTGAATATTGATTACTTGTTACTATAATGGAAAGGGAGAGGTTGTAGAAGAGGTTTACAGTTCAGTAGACTTAAGCATTGATTCAAATTTGTGACTATCATTTATGTAGGACAGAGGGTTAGGAAGGGAGAAAGCTGTCATTATCAAATCTGGATCTTGTTTGTGGCTTGTGCTACATGTTTATTACAAATAACAGTTGCTTATGGATCTGGGCGCTGCTGAAAAGTTTTGAAGTCCTGACAAGAAAAATTTTTGAGCAACATTAAAATTTGTTATTATACATGTAGTATTATTCAAGCAATGATTCTGTACATATAATAAATAATCATCATCATGCATGTTAATGCTGCCATCAATGCTGTGCGCATTACATATAAATGCTTGCCAGCTGATGTTGCGCATAATGCTGCCTTCAATGCTGTGCGCATTATTTAGTTAATGCTTGCCAGCTGATGTTGCGCATCTTTTATTGATGATTGTTGTAACATGTGCATGTTCTCATTAATAAAAAAATATTGTTTGCACATTGGAAATTCTTCATGTACACAATGTTGTTATTTATTAAGCAGGTCATGAAAGTATCTTAACTGAGGATAGCATTAGCATTAGTAAGCAATATTACATGTATGTCTAAAATACATGCATGCACATATATGTATCATCCAATCAGAAACATTGTAGATGCTACCATTTTCTTTATTAGTTAGTACATGTATGTCACATTCATAATTTATTCAGGTACATGTACTTACTTGGCACAAGGACTACAATGTGGTGCTAAAGAGTGATGTCAGACTTAGGATGAGACTCAAAGGTAAAGGGGATGTTCCTATATGTGAGCACCTGTATCTTGTTGGTGGTTTGTAATGTATGTTTGTGACAAACATAAGGTACATCATGCATATATACATGTATATGCTTAGAATAGTGTACATGTACTGGATTATTGATGCATTTATTGTGCTTGTAGTGTTTGACGATTATCATGCATGAATTTCATCCTTTTATAGTTTGTTGTATAATGGAGTTACAAGGAATACAAAAGTTCCATTTGATTGGTAATAAAGTTTGTTCACCATTATTGCTTGTACTATTGTTATTATTAGCCCGTGTGTTTACATTGCTTGCCTTTGATGTGTTTCTGTTATTATGCTTTACAGGTATTGACAGCTGGAAAGGATTTGATGATTCAGCAATACTTTTACTTGATATTGGAATGTGCAATTACTGCAATATAATTA